AATTAAAAACATCTTTTTAAAAAAAGTAGTAAGAGCTTGAAATTTTGTGGTTGATTTTAGCTTGTATGCACTGTAGTACATGTATTATAACAAATACCAGCCAATCAAATAAGATTGCATGATATAACATGTTTCATGCTAATTATAGAATAGATAGGCAATACGCCTGGCAGATTTCTGAGCCGGTCGGCACAGGCCGGATCGTTATAGAGGCGTGTTCAAATCGATATCAGCTAAAAATGGTCGGGAACACGCAAATTGCACATGTATCAAGCTACACATTTAAACAACAAGGTTAGAAAGTGGAACCGTCGCCGTTGAGAAATATTGCAACCTAGTTGAAGAGCGGGCAAGAAACAAGCATCGGAGGATATGGGTGGGGTGTTGCTTGCGTGGCTTTTTCCTCATATTTCGGAGAACTGATACTCTGCATCTCGGAAAAAAAATTATTAGTGAGCACTTGAGTCTATCACTACTGAAGCGCATTCTTTCCTGTAATTTATTTTGCGTGACATTCGCGCTATTTTATTATAAAATATATCTATTTCCGACATAGATTGCCCATTCCATGAATGAAGGCTATCAATTCTGATACGTGCCGGCAAGTGAGATTTATTATAAACAGGTTGATATATCCCCACTCACATTGTGACCAAATCAAGCGAAAAACACAAGTGGAAATTATGTTATTTCCACTTAGTCTAGATTATGTATGATGGAAGAAAAATTTACAGATTCCGATCTCCGATCCCGATGCCGGGATCCGATATGTCCCTTAAAATCATACACCAATCAAATCACAAGATCGATGTGGAACACAAAAAAATTGTATCTTGAAATTTTACTTATGAAACAATCGTGTTCTAACTATATATTTAGGAATCCCTCCCCTGAGATTTCATTTAACACATGCTTGTGAGATTATCCCCTCTTCCCCCTAAAATATTGTTACTCCTCTAAGCTTAATCATAAACCTAAACCAAAACCTTAATGATTTTGATGAAAAACGGATTATGTGAAAATTTTGACCGAAATTGTGCAGATCATGCGGATCATTTGGCCAGAATTATCGAAAATTTTTTATAATAAAAGAACAATATTTTGAACTAATGATAAATGCATAAATATATAACTAAAAATTAATTTTACAATAATGTTTATATTGCTAAATACTATATAAATTTAGAAGTATAATAGTTTATTATAATATATATTGCAAATTTTCATCATAATTTATTTTTTATTATGATTCTTCACAATTATAGATTAAAACAAAATAGGATAGGGTGTTTAAATAATTATAAATCAATATAATAGAGATTTTAATATCATACTCTATATTTTAAGCCATACTTAATTCTTTTTCAGAATTTCATTCTTCCAAAAAAAGAGCCAAATTTTATTTTAATTTATTATAATTATTAATAGTATAACGTGATTTTAAGAGACATATTAATATTCCTTAAATATACTAACATCTGCGTATTTCAAATCAAGCGTATATCTATAGGTCTACCGCAGTAATGGGAGAATTTATTGTTAAAAGTCTATGCTATCACCTAAGTATAATTTTTATTACCTTTAATTCCATATACAGTCAAAGCTCGTTAAACTGAAGTACTAATTAAAACATTAGTAAATCGAAGTTTGGTCTAGGAACAGTTATAGTACTAAATAAACCTCGATTTTTACTAATAGCACCGACTACTTAAACTGAAAATAATCTTTTAAAAGACTTTTTCCTCATTTCGCCATTCTGTTTTGTCGAAAAATCCATCAAACTCGAAATCTTTAATTTGGTTTTTGGCCATTAAATGATGACATTCTTGTTCATCTAATAACATATATGCTGAGATGTGTATATTTAGCGCATATCTTCTTCCCGTATACATTAATAGAAACAAAGGATGGCATTTATACACCAGGTTGAATAAAAGTACTGGTAGTGCTTCTGCAAGAATGGGTTTATGTAGCAGAATAGCAAAGGTAACGGCTAGAAGCAAGTTTCAAATTTTTTGTTTCGATTTTTTATTTTATTAACATTGGAAGAGTCCTCAAGATCAAAAACAAGAAAAGGACTAAGAAATAAAAACAAGCAAAAGATAATCCACTAAGAGTATTAACTGGATTATTGTGTATTATCACCTGATTTGAACGTTTCCTCGTTTAATAAATGATAAAATGCATTATTTCTATCTACGAAAAAATTATTACTATTTTAAAAGAAAACATGTGGATGCTTATACGTAGTTTGCGTATTGGAAGGATAAAAAACAAGAAATCCATTAAAAACAGGAATATTAACTGGATTTCTGTGTGTCGTCGCCTGATTTAGACGTTTCCTTCGCCTAATGAATGATAAAAATTAACGCTAATAGATAAGAAAATGCATTATTTCTAGCTACGATAAAAAATTATTACTATACCTAAAAAATATTTTAACGCCAACAAAAGACGTGTTTGTTGCTCGTTGTTTTGCGATGAGGAACTTAGATTCTTATATAAAGTCCAGACTTTTTGGCTGCAAACTTTTCTGTCGTAATTAGGACCGAATGGGTCCTCGTTGTTCATGTCACTTATTACAGCCATATCTATATGAGAATTTCGATGGTTATTATGATTGAATCGTGGATGTATTAAAACAAAGCGTTATGAAACAAAAATCAAACCTTTTTTTTTTTTTTAGATAAGTTTTTTAGTACAAGTTTCAGACAAGTTTTTATTTCGAATTTTCAGTATTTTTAGTAAAATACACCAAGAGAGGTTTATATACTTATATAGCTGCTTATTCTACTCATGACTTGCATTAATTACATCCCGAGTTTCTTCCATCTAGCGTCATTCGAACGAATTATTTGCGATCAGACTAATTACTCGCATTAATTACATCCCGAGTTTCTTCTATCTAGCGTCATTTCGAACGAATTATTTGCGATCAGACTAATTACTCGCATTATCTAGCGTCATTCGAACGAATTATTTGCGATCAAACTAATCACTTGCATTAATTACATCCAGAGTTTTTTTTATCTAGCGTCATTTCGAACGAATTATTTGCGATCAGACTAATTGATTCGTTCGAATTTCGTATTAAAAATAAACGATTCGTTTTAAGTGAAACTATAAATGACTGTGTATCCAATGTTAAATTAGTTTGATCGGAAACTCGGGATGTAATTAATGCAAGTAATTTTTGTTGGTGGCTTCATTTCGAACGAATCAATTTTTTGTTAATACGATCGACCAGGTCCAGTGATTGTGATTGTGCGGCCAATGAATCTTGTTCCATGTTCCACTGCACTCCATCAGTGATTAGTCCTGCCGTCAGACGCACATTTTAACCAGTTACAGTTGAAGATCATGAAAAAGAGTCAAACTCTCTTCTTTTGAATTACTATTATTACGCGCTCACGTGTGTGTGTATTTATTGATCTGTTTAAGACTTGCGATTTCATAGGGAGGTCTGACTGTACTTGCAACAAAAAATGGCACCGACTTCATGAATATTATAAAAACCATGTACCGATCTCAAACAAATCTCTAATGTGTTTCTAAACAACTTGGGAGAGATTGTTGTAACCGGTAGCCAATGGCTCAAGCGAATTCGGTTCGAATTTCGAACCAGACTCGTAGATAGTGGAATCAATTTTGTGCTGATCAGAAAAATAGATAGATAGATGTTTAACCCTAAGTGCAACTCGTTGCATTTACGGAGGTAAAAATACATATATATATGTATAAGTTGAGTGTCATTTTTAAATTTGTATGAAACGTTGAGTATTACTATAATATTTAGAGAACATTTAGAGAATGATTGTACCGTCTTTTTATACTTTTATATTTCAAGCTACGGTTTTACTCTGATGCACTTAATTGATGCACTTAATTGAACACAGTCCCATTTTACAATCGTGGACTTTTTTACAACCATAAGTAAAACAAGTGACGCAAAATGCTACTAATAATGGTGCTGGCATAATTTTTATTTGTTTTTTGATGTGTTTCAGTATGTTCCACGGATTGGTTGGTCACAGATAAATTATGTACATAGAAAAATTTATGTAACGTCACTCATGCATAAGAACTTTTCACATGTATTATTTACACGCATTGAATACATGTCATCTAATCAAATAACTGATGTATTGAAATATTATCAATATTGAGTCACAGATTAGTAATATCCACTCAATTTTATGAGTTTTTCATTCGAAAGCCACAATTGAGTAAAACCATGGTTCAACTGGTTTTTAAAATTGCCAATCCAAAACGTTGACCGTGAAAGTTTAAACGGTGGTTTAACTGGTTAACAGCCATCACTGACCAACTGGTTAAACTTAAACTGGTTCAATCTCTAGCAAGGTTGTAGAACCCACGAAAATGCAAAGAATGGTATACATAGACACGTTTTTTGAGACGGAAATGACGCGAATTTGACATTCCGTGCTAAAATAAACGTACCAAGAACGTGTTTATGTTTTCATAATTTGTCGCGTTTTCCATGCTTGTTCGTACTATTTCGTACTATTCCTTGCAATTTCCGTGGAACTTAAGTGCTTGCTTTTTTATAGGGATGATGTAGAACCTTACATGTCTTTAACTTTTAAAGAATAGAACTCATTAATAAAAAACTTAATCTCTCTATTTGAATCGAAATTTACAAACTAATAGATATTTATTCAAAAAAGTCTTTAAAAGTATAGATTCTGCATCATAAAGACGCATTGCACAAATTTTGTTCATTTTGCATAGTAAACATATATTACGTAATATATGTCACAACCCTAACGGCCAATGTTGTCGCTTGGATGTAAATACAGCAATTTATTGGTGAAATGCTTGTCCCGACCAATCAAATTGCTGTATTTACATCCAAGCGACAACACTGGGCCCTAACGGTAATAAAGATTGACTTGATTACTTACAAAGCATGCAACTATATACTCTTGATGCAGGAAATTTAATGACTGTTTGAAGCTATGCTTTTTTGAAGATATTTTCGGATGGTCATTAACTGATAGCACTTCTTTAATTTAGTGTTAATCAAAAAATTATGTGATTTAATTTTATTACATTTTTTTATATATCAAAATTAATTATGAAACAATCTAATATTACATCTTTCTACGTAGTTAGAATTCAATAAATCTCGATATAGTAAATTGATAAACTCCGAACACGAGGTGCATGGAATACATCTATAGATTAACCAAAACAAATCCGACACAAAGTGCGAATAATGTGAAACATACGGAAAACGAATGCTTAAATCTGGCTTGAAGCACTAATAAAAAATGTCGGGAAGGCAATTTTACATATAATTTTGTCCCCTACTCTAACCCTAATCCTAACACTAACCTTTAAATCAATCTTTAATATCCTCAACCAATAGGAAACCTGGGTGAAAATTAGTAAATCGCATGTCAACACAACTGCATGTTAAATTAAATGCATAAAACCGTACGTATTAATTTACTCTGTTCGACATAAAGAGAAACTGTTTGCATCTGACATAGTACAAAAGGAATATTTATGGAGAATATACCTTTAATCGGAGAGCATAACGATAGTCGGTTCGTATGACTTCCAAATTTTTATAAATATACGACCCAACAGAAACAACTTTGGCAAAGTTTAAAACAGAGATTTAAAAAAACTGGAAAACCACTACTAGGATTTGATGTGGCTACTATTGAATAAAAGGGTGTCTTAAGTCACATGTTTTGATTTATATCGGAACTTTCCTTTTCCGAAATGTGTGGGGCTGATAAAACTATACCCACGTGATTATCGAGAAATTTCGTTATATAATATTAGGTTAGGATTACCGACAGAAATAAGCGTAAAGAAGAGGTGATGCATCGTCGTAGAGACAATACACTTAGCGGAAGTATGCACTTTACGAAAATTTCAGTTACACGAATTATCATATGATCTGTAATGTGCACCAGCCAGGTTTTATTATATCGATATTGATTGAGCAGGACAGGTCAAATGATCTGCATTTAAAAGAGAAAAATGCACTTATTGAACATGCACTCATCGAGAGTCGACTGTAATGAGTTGAGATTTATTCACCTTAAATACGTAGAATTTGGATTATTAAGGCTCACACAAAAAATCACTTGGAAATAATTCTCTATGACGAATGTGTTTAGTGGACGCAAATCATGCACCAATGGAAGTGTTACTTCAACAACTTTTGTCAATAATTAATAATTTTTTCAGTGACAAGTATGATCGTATAATTTGTTCTCAGTGAAGCTATCATCAATGAAAGAATAATTGTGCAAATTTCATGAATTTTGTGTGCCCAATGTCATGCAAGCAATTAGTTCAATCACCAATAATTCGTCAAAGTGGCGCTGGGTAAAAGAAACTCGCATTAATTTTAGGATGAATTATGCAATTAATTATTACAACTATACATGTAGTAATAATCATAATTTGTACGTATATTCGCTATAAAAAAAATAAGTGCGAACAAAAAATTGAATTTTTTTGATCTCATAAAAATTCAAAAAAAATTGTTTATTATACTAAAAATTCAAAAAAATTGTTTATTATACTAAAAATTCATTTTTTGTTACTATTATCAATTCAAATAAAAAAAATTCATTAAGGTTTGATTTTTTCTTTTCATATCGCTTTTTTTTTTTTTTAATAAATACATGGCTTTAACCATAATAACCATTGCAATTTCATAGGTATAGCAATGATAACCAACATAAATAACAAGCAGGACCCATTCCCTGCCTACGAAATTGCCAGCCAACAGGTTCGGCGCATGTACAACGATTTACGCGACTTACCACATAAAAACGAAGAGCAAATTCGACTCTTAATAGCTTTAAGATCCTTTTTAGGTAATTGCTTCATAAAGAATTATAATCATTTTTTTTGGTCTATTGATTTCTAACTTTTATGTAATAGCGTCGGAAGATGAAACTAGGCTAAACAATGCACAATAAGAACTGGCTTCTCCTCACTACTAGGCTCATTGCATGTTTTCAAATATTAGTAAAAAAATAGAAACAAAGAACTTTGGACTTGCTTCTGGCCCTTACCTTGGCTACTCTCCATTCTTGCT